GACCCTGCTAATTAATATTTGTTCTGCTTCAGCAGACAGTTACTGGACGAGACTGCAACAAACAAGCATGTCTCACCCAATCACATCATTAATCCATTCACGTTTACCACCTGAGGACCAGCTATGCCCCACAGATATTTATTCATCTGTTCCACAAACAAACAATTACAACACATTTTCCGGAATTAGGGCACCTCTTACATTCGGCACAGCTTACATGCTCAGAGGCAGATATCAATTAATACTGAAAAAATTACTGTATCGTAAGCCAACAGAAGTTACTCGTTATATTTTGGTAACACTACCCCCAAAACACCCATGAAGATCAAAACCACAACTCTTGCAGAGCAAAGTTTAATTCAAATATGATCAGCTTAAAATTACCACTTCATCATCATGGAAAGCAAAACACAGGCAACGCCTCGTTTCCAAATGGAGAAAGGCACAAGCAGAATCCACAACACGAGTGTGAAACGTCTGGATCTTAACAAGCCTGTGAAGTGCTTTTTCAGCTGAATGGTATAGAAGTGGCAAAATAACAAAATGATCAGGAAATAAATTCTGTGAATTTCTTCAAGCATGTAACAGATAATTAAGTTTCTTTGGCTTCTTAAATACATACTGAATGCAAAGACATTTGGCAGGACACTCATGCCACTAGAGGAAGTCCATTTAACAGAAACCTGACAATTAACACAAACTCCACAGCAGTACATCATGGTAGTTTATTTGGCGTTCCTCTACCAGCAGAACAAAGTCCAGGCAACATAATTACATTTGGTAACATCCAGAAGTCTTATACGTTGGGCATTTTTACTTTAAACTACCTTGTTCTTTCCAGAACACTTACACTCACACAATTTTTTTTTTTTTAAGTGTCAAATTACAGTTGCAGAAGTAAGCAGCTTACTCTTACTTACATACTAAATGAACAGAGATCTAAATACTTAGTAGTGGCTAACAGCTCGAGAAGTTAAGTTGAGAAGCACTGGAGGACCTGCCACCACAAATGTAAATGGAATGTGGGAATCGCACCCGTCCACTTTCCCTGCATCTGTCACACATGTAATTATTCACTTTCACACAGATCAAGGCAAAAGCAATCTTATTCCCAAATCCACTTGAATTTGCCCTGACAGGTTTCTCCTCGTTCACCAGCATGTTGGACAGAAATTTACACCAAACCTGCATTTGATGCATTATTTCAGATTCTTCAATTTAAAACTGTTTTTTCTTCCAGAGGAATCTCAAACAAGCTATTTTTCTCCTGCCACCAGACTGCAGCTTTTAATTACTGGCACTTGCTGCTGCTGAAACAGTGAAATCCCAGCATTAAAATTAACAGAATCTTCACCATGTTGGCAAGTCTTATTATGGGCATCGTCTCTGCCCCAAATAATTCACAA